ATAAAATATTGGGTTTGAGCTAATGGATGGGAATCTAGATCACAATTCGTTCACAAACAAGTCGGCAGTACAATATAATAAATATAAACTAGTTGGTAAAGTTCAAATATAGAAATGAAACAGTGGTACAAGTCAGTGAATTTAAACCAAAAATAATACCCTTGTTTACGTTGCAAAATCATGACGCAGTCTATGTGTTCTCGTTGGCATATCCAACATAGTCCCCTAATAATAATTTTAATTTCCAAATAACGTGACTAACAACAAAGTCTGTTATGTTCAATTTGTAGACAGAAATTAGATAAGGGTTTGATTCTGGTTAAAACCGTTTTGGGCCCTTTTAAGCCTGGGGTTCCAAAACAGACAGTGTAGATGAAAGTGGTCTTCGGGTGCGGGATTTTCTCGCTATGTTGGAGACCCATTGGTGGTCTTCGGCTGTTTTCTGCTCTTTGGTTGGGTTGTTGTCTCTTTGACACATTCCCCATTCTCATTCTCAATTTTATTTTGTTCAGATCGTCCTTCTTTTGATGATTAATGGCCACTACACTTTTTTTTAAATTATGTTCAATTTTAAATACAAGCAGAGGCAATTAAGTGTGATACCATCACTAAGTTGTACTTTCTCTTTTTTTTTGAGGTATCATAGTAAAGAATCCAACAATAAAACATGTAAATGACATGTTTTCAGTATCTGCGGGTACTCTTTAATCGGTACTTTGTTTTTTGTCTTTGTCTTTGTGTTTGTTTTTTTGTGCTTACATTGTGCTGTTACACCACTGTCCCAGATTAGGGAACGTATTGAGCGCAAACAATCATTTATAACTTTGTCACATTATTTTATGTGACTGTCCCAAGTCATGATCTTGTAATTCAGTGGTCGTCATTGCTGCCTGCCAAAATTCAACACCACCTTTCTTAGTTTATGAAAATCACGGCATATACGATTAAAAGATATGTAAGGGAATATAGTCTTATTCAAAGTGAAGGTTGGCGCCTGTTAAAACGTTTAAACCCGCTGCATTTTTTCGCACCTGTCCTAAGTCAGGAGCCTGTTGTTCAGTGGTTGTCGTTTGTTGGTGTGGTTCATAAGTGTTTCTCGTTTTTTATATAGATTAGACCGTTGGTTTTCCTGTTTGAATTGTTTTACACTAGTCTTTTTGGGGCCCTTTATAGCTTGTTGTTCGGTGTGAGCCAAGGCTCTATGTTGAAGACCGTACATTGACCTATAATTGTTTACTTTTTAAACATTGTGACTTAAATGGATAGTTGTCTCATTGGCACTCATACCACATCTTCTTATTTAAATAAGTTCCATTCAGTCGTAAAAAAAGAAGTAATAAGGAATAAGTAACGAAAAGGTAACAAATAGGTAACGAATAAGTAATAAGGAATAAGTAACGAATAAGGAATAAGTAACGAATAGGTAACGAATAAGGAATAAGTAACGAATAGGTAACGAATAAGGAATAAGTAACGAATAGGTAACGAATAAGTAATAAGGAATAAGTAATAAATAGGTAACGAATAAGGAATAAGGAATAAGTAACGAATAGATAACGAATAAGTAATAAGGAATAAGTAACGAATAAGGAATAAGTAACGAATAGGTAACGAATAAGTAATAAGGAATAAGTAACGAATAGGTAACGAATAAGTAATAAGGAATAAGTAACGAATAGGTAACGAATAAGGAATAAATAACGAATAGGTAACTAATAAGGAATAAGTAACAAATAGGTAACGAATAAGTAATAAGGAATAAGTAACGAATAGGTAATGAATAAGGAATAAGGAATAATTAACGAATAGGTAACGAATAAGTAACGAGTAGGTAACGAATAAGGAATAATGAATAAGTAACGAATAAGGAATAAGGAATAAGTAATAAGGAATAAGTAACGAATAGGTAACGAATAAGCATTAAGGAATAAGTAACGTATAGAGAACAAGTAACCAACTTGACGACCCTATAACCCCCAACCGCCATCATACATGGCAACTATTTCTTTAAAAAATAGAAAAATAAACCAAAATAATCTTAAAAATCATATGTTATCTGAACTGCAACTTTATTTCAAGGAAAGGAAAAGAAGTATTGAGTATGTCCAAGAATTCCATGAAACTTGGCTGCTTATGATGATCAAGGCATCCAGTCATTGTAGGCAAGTGCTTCTATTTCCTTGAAATTTGAACGCCGAAATTTGTGGAACCAGAAAAGCTACACGTAAGACATCGCAGTTTTACAACATAGGACTACGGTATCATGTGTCCCTTCTTGCAGACATGGATACGGTAGAAAAAACTATGTTCTAATGGAAATTACCACATTTAACAAAAAAAGGATAAGGAGGTATGATAAATGCCATTATTTGGCTCAGAAACTTGCAAAAAGTCAACTCTTCAGTCTTTGTAAAATAATGTTATTTATATATTGATAAATGAGAACGATGTAGTCGGGTCACTACAGAGTAGAAATATTATATTATCATATGTGATTTCGCTGGAACTTCAAAAAATGACAAACTTCACATATTTGATCGAATACGGCCATTTTACACATGGTTTTTGGTAAAAATAGACATAAGAAAAAACCTACTCACATCAGCATCTTTATGATGAGACACCATATCGCAAAATATCTTTTTAGGGCAATGATGTTGCCCATATTTGATATCAATGGCACAATCTCAAAACGAGACCATTTTGGCAGATTTTTAAAAGTTTTTCCTTACATTCGAGAAGTTTGAAGGGCTAATATGAATTTCGAAGACAAAATTCAAAACAATGAAAACCGATACCTTACACCTTACACTAATGTATTATGAATTTACAATACTTTAAGATTTTTTAATTCAAAGGGTAAAAAAAGTTTCATTACCATGAATTCTTCTTTAGCTCAATATTCCAATTTGTGTTTACAGTCGTTTTATTATTTTTTTTTCTCTAAGAAACTATAAAAGCAATTTCAAATAGTCATAAATTGTTCAAATAAGGCCTTCGAAAATAGTGGAATTAATTACTTTTGGAGTGTCAAGAACTCGTTGGAAGTACTTGATAAATTACATGCATATATTGGTGATTTTGAATCTGTTCAAAGTTTTGATTTTTCTACCCTATATACCACATTGCCTCACATTCTCATTAAGAAAAAATTCACACACCTAATTGAATGGGCATTTAAAAAGTCAGAATGTGAATATATATGTTCAAACTCTTTTAGGTCATTTTTTAGTAGCAATAAACAAAAAAACTATGTCAATTGGACATGCTTTGATACTATATATGCCCTTGAATTTTTATTAGATAACATTTTTGTTCGCTTTGGAGATTCCGTATATCGTCAGGTTATCGGAATTCCAATGGGGACTAACTGTGCACCACTTATTGCGGACCTTTTTTTGTATTGCTATGAGTTACAATTTATGACAAAAATCAGCAAAGACCCATCGAAACAACATCTGATACACAAATTTAATAATACTTTTAGATATTTGGATGATATTTTGGCTCTCAATAATGACGACTTCAGTATGTATACTAAAGAAATTTATCCTGTTGAACTTACTTTAAATAAAGCTAATACTAACAATGACCACTGCCCTTTCCTCGATCTTGATATCTATATCATTAATGGAAAGCTTAATACTAAAATATATGATAAAAGAGATGATTTTTCATTTCCTATCGTTAATTATCCATTTTTAGATGGTGACGTTCCCTTGTCACCATCTTACGGTGTTTATATATCTCAACTTGTACGATTCGCTCGTGTATGTAACAATGTTTTAGATTTTAACGAGAGAAATTTATGTATTACTGAAAAATTATTACACCAGGGTTTTCGATATCACAAACTAGTCAAAACATTTACTAAATTTTATCATCGGTATAAGGACATCATTCGTAAATATAGCTCAACATGCAGACTTCTTATACGTTCAGGTATTTCACATCCAATTTTTTATGGAAATATTCTTTATAAAGCACAAAAATGTCAGTATTCACCTCTGAAGCTAACAAAACCTTTAAATAGACTTATTAAGAAGGGATATAGTTACGATACTGTTGTCAGGTCATTAAAGATTGCATATTTTGGCGTTAATATTGATTCACTTATAGGGTCTTTGCATCGGCACTAAACACTTTTATTTAAAAACCAGTTGTTGGCATGACACGGGTTATGTTCTTCTCATATATGTTATGATGGTATGATACTAAACCCCTAACGGGAAGGATTGTGCCTGATATTCATATGATGAAGACATAATCTTTCAATCAGTTTAATTGAAGTCTGGAGCTGGCATGTCAGTTAACTGCTAGTAGTCTGTTGTTATTTATGTATTATTGTCATTTTGTTTATTTTCTTTGGTTACATCTTCTGACATTAGACTCGGACTTCTCTTGAACTGAATTTTAATGTGCGTATTGTTATGCATTTACTTTTCTACATTGGCTAGAGGTATAGGGGGAGGGTTGAGATCTCATAAACATGTTTAACCCCGCCGCATTTTTGCGCCTGTCCCAAGTCAGGAGCCTCTAGCCTTTGTTAGTCTTGTATTATTTTTAATTTTAGTTTCTTGTGTACAATTTGGAGTTAAGTATGGCGTTCATTATCACTGAACTAGTATATATATTTGTTTAGGGGCCAGCTGAAGGACGCCTCCGGGTGCGGGAATTTCTCGCTGCATTGAAGACCTGTTGGTGACCTTCTGCTGTTGTCTGTTCTATGGTCGGGTTGTTGTCTCTTTGACACATTCCCCATTTCCATTCTCAATTTTACAAATCAGGACAGTTAGAAAAAAAATAAAAGAAATTATTAATTTTCCATTTTTTTACACTAAATTTAAGAAACTAGAGCGGGATAGTAAACATACGCCATATGTTTGCTGTTCTTTTTTTAACTTTAGAGAGAAGGGCAAGCATCGTTAAATATTTTCTATGTTTAAATGAAACTAAATTGTTAGTATTTGATAACACATTAAAGTTATACTTTAACATACCTTGAAGTTTGTTTTATTCAATTATCGCTAATTCCATATACTATATGTATTTATTTCTTTTCATTTTCAGGTGTTTTCAATGTGAAATCAAGCGCTCCCGTCATTTCAGTGTATACGACTGATTATTGATGATATGCAGGATTGTATATATTAACAATAACAATGGATTTTATGGAAAATCTATTGATTTAAAGCATTCTTTCGCTTTATATTGACACACTCAAAAGAATAAAACATGATACTTTTCACTTTTATTAAACATAACTCTGGGTCTTTCATATGGTTTCTTGATGTATGATGAAATATGGTCCTGACTTTGTGTCATTTGTATCTTCAATATGGGCTATTTGATGTGAAAGAAACTGCTTTGATAATCTAAGTTAACCCTGTGACATATATATGTGCATTCCAAAAGTCAGGAACCTCCCAAGTGGTTGTTATACGTCATATCTAAATGTTCTTTTTTTGTTATTCGGATAAATTTGGTATTGATGGCCAATTGTTTTGTAGTCCCGTTTAATTTATAGACTATGGACGACTTAAGAGGTTGACGTATTGAATAGAAAAATTTCTATCGTTGAAGACTGTATGTTGTCTTCTGTGTGTTGTTTGAGTATTTTGTTCGTTGGGATGCTGTAGCATTGTCACACTATTACAAGAAATCTAAGCAAAAATGTTTGGAAAAAGTAACAGAAAAACTAGAGGCCCAAAGTAATGAAAACTTTATATTGAGCATTGTTTGATAATTTCCGAATAAAATTGAACCAATCTGTTAATAACCTTTTAAAATTTAAATCAGATAGGACCATTTATGGATTCTACTCAACGATTTTATAAATATTCTCCGAGCATCTCTATAAGAAAAAAGTCTCGATCTAAACTTGATTAAACCCATTACATCAAAATCAACACTACATACCATTATTTTCTTTTGTAGTGGATTTTGCATCCAGTGCATATATCTGACCATCAACGGATTGACCTGGTCATAGATTAAATAGTTTGAAATCTGGTATCAATGTCATTACATGCATTGTTTCCCTTTGCAGCTTTTCTTAGGAAATTTGGATTTTAATAAGACGTTAACCATTTATGGCACACGGTGGTTGTTAATAGTGACATAATTTCTTGGCAAGTTAACGTGTATATGAATGGAACAACCCAAAAGGAACACACCTCATCAAACACTTTATTCTAATTCATAGTTTGCAACATTTTCGTCTGTCTTCACGTTTTTGCCATGGCATTGGCAGTTTCTCTTCCACTAATAAGTTTTAAATGTCGCCTTGGTATATTCTGACTATACTGATAACTTATTCTAATGGGTTGTAGTAGAGACATATAATACAATTTTATATTATATGTCTCTGGTTGTAGCAAGGATTTGCTAGGATTTGTATGACCATGAAATCCTTGGTTGTAGGTAACATAGTGCTGTCCATCAAAATACTATGACACCTTTTACACTCAATCATACATAGACTGGGGTGTCAATATATCCTTATTTGAATTTTAGACACGTTAAACCTTTCAGGAGCGGTTCCAGCCATTTTTAAAAGGGTTTTCCAACCCAGGATAAAGGGGGGTTCCAACCGTATGTCCCCATTCAAAAGCATTGATCGTCAATGATCGTCAAAAAAAGGGGGTTCTAACCCCCGGAACCCCCCCCCCCCCCTTTGATCCGCAACTGACCTTTTCAGAGACATAAGTATATGTCTCTAAAATATGGTATTGCTTTGTATGAAGGGAAATAATTTCAACTCTCTAAAATAAAGTTCCGTTTGGTGGGAAAGTTTCTTCTGTCATCTGACGATGATCTGTCTGAAGAAGGTGAACTGTTGACGGACGTACGCAGTATAAAGCATATATATATGTCTCTTGAACAGGTTTGAACAGAATAAACAATCGAAAATGCAGGATGCTAAGGAACCAACCATTTTATTTTTAGTGGACATGAACTTTGATAAAAGAATCCTTTTTTTGTTCTGTATCCCGTCGTGATACTTCGGTCATTTAAGGTCAAGGAACAATGAATGGGCTATGTGTCTATGTCACAGATTTTTTCTTGAAAAACCATATGTTGTTGATATAGAAAGTTCCTTTTTAATGATGTAAAATAATGATAGGGTCACCGACTTCGTTTTTACGATATACATCATTCAAACAATCAAAGTTGTGTTGTATAAATGTGAAAAAATACCACAAAAAGTCGAAATAAGTGTTACGTCAACGCGTTGCAGGCTGTAAAACGTTAATTTTTGACGTTTTTCACTACCAACTAGGTAACCTGATTGATTATTAGACAAAAAACGAAGTCGGTGACCATATGATTATCTTATATCATTAAAAAGGAAATTTCTGTATCAACAACATATAGTTTTTAAAGAAAAATCTATGTAGTAGAAATTAGTGATTTTTTGATTATTTTTTAATATGAAAAATTTAAGAAGTTTTTTTCGCAGATTTAATGTGCTTTCTATACAAATGTTCACCTTTTTTGAAAGAATTCAATCAGTAATATATCAGATGATAAAAGATATAAATGCATTATTTTTTGGATTTTCAGTTATAGTTAAACGAGCCAAGGTTGTATGCAAAATGTTAGCAAAATCTGTGACATAGCCCATTTACTGTTACATGACCTTAAGGACAGTGACTTTTTTAATTTTATTTATCTGTAGACTCAGCTTTGTTTTTGGACAACTGTGTATTGTCAAGCTTGGTGTCTCATAATTGTTTCCTTATCACTAAATGTACGATGTTATAGTGTATTTATGGATTTTAAATAAATTTACGAACTATCTTTCTATGGTGTTATATACTGTATCTCTGATATTTACTGGTTGCGTGCCGGTTACCATAAAACAATTACAGGTTTTCTTTAATGTTAATTACCCGAAACTTCGTTTTTGAAATCAGAACTATAGACAGCAGCGGATCTAGAGGTTATAGCGGGAGGTGGGTTTGGGGGTGTTTCTTGGATTTCATGAAACTTTATCTTGATATATCTTTATTACCAAAGTCTATATAAACTATAGGTGCACATTTGAATTGCATCCACATAAATAATACATATATAAACACAAATTATGTGACAGAATAGCAGAAGGTGTTGCTATTATAAATAAACACTATTTTAAACATATCGGTTCTTAAACTAAATTTACCTAAATTACACAGTGTTTTTACATTGTTTGTACTCAATAGTTTAATAAGTTTGAACATTGATGGTGTTTTCTAATAATATGGCTTACATAAAATTTTCGAAAACCTTGAAAAAATGGACATTTGAGGATGAAATGATACTCATCCTCTATATCATTTTTACAAAAAGTACATATTCTATTATTTCTTGTTATACCATAAAATCTTCCATTTTCTATAGCTAAGTTGTGGCTACTTAATCTTATTTTCGGAATAAATGTATTGTAACATTAGGAATTGGTTTGCAGAAATAAAATTGCAGACAAAAATTATCTAACATATATTTATAATTAGAACATTTTGGAGAAGTATGCAACTGAGCATCAAGTTCTTGTTTTAGACAATCATATACACGTTGCTAAAGACAGCAAAATATACATCAGGCAAGTCTGAAATAAGGTTTTGGCTATACCAATAACAACATTTCATTCTTAATAAAATATAACCAATTACACTTAATATTTGGACATCTCTCTAATTCACCATATACGTAATTATAACAGTTTTTCAATATACAGTTTGAAGTATTGAGCGATTTAAACCAATATTTGAAAATCTTGCATTTTCTTGTAAAAATAAAAGGCACTCTACCTAGTTCATGATATATCAAAACATTGTTAGTAGATAATTTAACACCAATTATATTCTTATAAAAGTTCAAGTGTACTCTCTCAATGGCGGGGCTTTGTGTGCACCCCATATTTCACTTGCATAACTCAATAAAGAATTGATATAAGTATCAAAAAGAGATAACAAAGTGACATAGTTTAAATACATACTTTTGATATTTCTTCTAAAAGCAAACATTGCTTTTCTACCTTGTTCGGAAAGTTTCTGTTGTAACATATTATATTTGCCATTAAAATTCAATAATACACCAAGGTAGGTAAAATTATCAACAACTTCAATTTCTTCATTATCACAATACCATATCTCATCAACATGAACTATACCACCTTTTCTAAATACTGCAATTTTAGTTTAATTAATATTAACACTGAATGACCATTTTGAATATTCATATAATGTATCAAGCATATTTTAGAACCCTAAAACAGATTCTGAGAAAATAACCATATCATCAGCATACATAAGTAGGAATAAATTCAATTCTTTCTTCTCATATGGAATGACATTATAATTAATGAAAGCCATTTCACAATCGTTAACATGTAATGAAAAACGTATGTGGGATAACACCTCTCCCTGCATCAAGCCCAATTTATTGGTGAAGTAATCAGAACAAGTAAAACTGTGAGCTACTGCTCACTGATGATACCCCCGCCGAAATATTTCGGTAAACAGGAAGTTGTTGAGTGATGAATCTGAAAACGCATAACACGGTATAGCTGACTTATATGAACCCTGATACCAAATTTCAGAAATCCTTGTCAAGTAGTTCCTGAGAAAAATGTGACGAAAATTTTCAACTTGGCTATCATGTGTAAAATAATACAAGTGTTCGGTAAACAGGAAGTTGTTGAGTGATGAATCTGAAAACGCATCACACGGTGTAACTTACTTATATTAACCCTGAAACCAAATTTCAGAAATCCTTGTCAAGCAGTTCCTGAGAAAAATGTGATGAAAATTTTCAACTTGGCTATCATGTGTAAAATAATACAAGTGTTCGGTAAACAGGAAGTTGTTGAGTGATGAATCTGATAACGCATCATACGGTGTAACTTACTTATATAAACCCTGAAACCAAATTTCAGAAATCCTTGTCAAGTAGTTCCTGAGAAAAATGCGACGAAAATATTCATGGGACTGACGGATGGACTGACGGACTGACGGAAGGACAGACCGAGGTAAAACAGTATACCCCCCTTTTTTAAAGCGGAGGTATAATTAAAACCATCAACACATACACATTAGTAAACATAGATTTAATAACAGAAGTTTACCTTGGATACCAATTTTTGACAATTTATACCATAGCATAAGCCTTTGAACAGTATCGAATGCTTTTGTGTAGTCAACAAAACAACAATATAGACATGTGTTTGCTGATAGGGACTTAAAAATTACAGATATGCCTATGTTCTTACCAATTTTTTCCTGATATCATCTTCATTTTTTGTTTATTTGTCTAATTTAATTGGTTATTCATTATTAAAGTAACTAGTCAGGTGCAGATCCAGGATTTAAAAGAAAAGGGTGGGGTCAGTGCTGACTAGCCAATGTTTGAGGTGATCTTGTAAAAAGTTAAAGCATTTATCATATATGAAGCTCCATAAGGGGGACCAGGTTCCCCTACCCCCTCTATCCCCACCCCATTAATCTGCCTCTGCTAGCTATAGTATATTCTAAGGTCAAAATTGTGTCCCCATTTGAAATTCCTCTTTACATTTCATATAAAAGCTAATTTTTCTAAAAACATGGTCAAAACTTATTTCAGGTCTGATTTTGATAAAAATTTACTCAAATTCCTGTTAAAGTCATAACTTTATATAAAGTTTTTTATGATCATTATGAAATGTTTTTATGACATGTCATTACTGAGAAATCATTATTCATAAACAAACATATATACCGGTAGCCATAAGATTCTTTCGAGCTTAAAGTAAAATTTGTTTTTTAATACTGATTTTATTGATAAATGTATTTCATAATTATTGCATTTTCAGTGTCTTGACCATTGATGATATTTTCATAGAAAAAGATGAACTGATAAACTTGGAAATTTTGAGAAAAAGTCAAATCTTGAAATCTTTTTTGTATTAGTTTTTCAGTGTTCTATACCATTATCCAATATGTATAAATGTAGTAATCTGCATTTTTTACCTTAAAGGATACAAGGTAAAATGGATAATATCATGTCAGCGTTTTTCCCTTTAATTTCTTTTGTTTTGCCAGTCAGAGTAGCTTTTTGTATTAATTATTAATAATGTTGTAAAATTTTATTTTAATGGCAGATATTGATTTATACTAACTTCTAATGAAACATCAAACATTAAAATGCCTTAATTGTGTTAAAAGAGGTGTGTCATGTGATGAAATTAAAATTATTTTAACGATATTTGTGTACTTAAAATATATCATACATGTATATAAACAGGTTGTAGGTTAAAAAGGAAGTAAATAAAGATGATGGGCGCCACCTAGTTTCACATCCAAGATAGTAGAACTTTATAAGTAAATTTTATCAAGTTCAAGACTGAAGAGGAGCCTATCCCTTTGACTTCTACGCAAAAAAAGATAGCATTAAATTCATTACTTTTCTTTCATTTTAGAATTCTTGTCAACAATTTTAGCAGTCTAAGCAGGATTCAGTTTGTAGCTACAACACCACCACATTTGAACCTGAGTGGTATGTTAAGATAAATCTATTTTGGAAACAATGTGGATGATAACTCATATTATTTGCGGCATCAAACACAAATATAAGTTATTCAGATCTGACTATAACACATGTTATAGTAGTCTCAGTTTAGGTGGATGTGTCTTATAGATTTAAGTTTGTAGCAATACAATATTTTGGATAAAGGAAAGAGTTGTCACATTATTTTTACCACTGTGTATTATAGGAAACATAATTATATACTTACTTATGTGAGCCAACAGATTATTGTTTAAAATGTGTAAATTGTTTGATCAAATTGATTGAAAGAGGACATTTTAATTTGTAGCAATCTTCTTTTCATTGTGTCAACAAAAATCACTCAAGCAAATCTGTCTTCCTAAAAAATGGGCAGATAATAACAAATTTCAATAATGGGCCAATGAAAATAGAAACAAGTTATATTCAAAAGTTGAAGATAAGTTTCTTAACCTTGGAATTTTACAAAAATAGCTCAGTCAAAGTGAAATAAATGTAACATTTTATTTTATCCTTTCAGATTGAAAATAATTCATAGCAAATTTGGTTTTCCAGAAATTTATGATATTATGGAATATTTTATCAAGAACTGGATAAAATATAATTGTATTCCATACAAATTTTCCAAAGTAAATTTAAGCCAGGAAAGCATCTTCCAAAGTAAATTTAAGACAGGAAAGCATCTTCCAAAGTAAATTTAAGACAGGAAAGCATCTATCTGTTCTGCAATAAAACATTTTTATATCATTTTGGCAACAGTATAAAAAAGCAATGCTATTGAATAATCTGACGGGGCAGAAATGTTCAGAATGTTCAGCTCATTCTACTGTCCATTTACTTCAAAACTGTCAGATGACTTCTTATAACAGTTTTTGCCAATAAATGAGGATGATTTTTTTTCATTTTTGCCTATTTTCTGGAATACTGTAATAGAAACAAACTTCAAAAAGCAAAAATTATCAGCTTGGAAATATAATTCACTATGAATATTTTCTGGTGAGTGAAAATATAGAATAAAATAAAACAAATTCAATAATCTGGTTGGAGAAGTAAGGACATTCATTGGATGTAAATGAAACAATCAAACATATCAAAAGAACAGTGCTCTCTTTCCTGGTCTTCTGGTACTCTATTTTAATGCTTTCTTTGCTTCATAGTTGCTTTATTTTTCAGTGAAGTATCATTTGGAGAGGATTTTACTACTGAAGATTCTATTTCTCCAAAGAAAAGAAAGATTGATGTAATAATAACTTAATCCTTTTTGATGATGTATTATGATATACTATTGGTCTGTCTGGGTATGTCATTTATTAAATAAAGTTTGCATTAACATACTGTTTGTCCTATCAAGACAGGTTCTTTTAAGATTGTGCAGTTTTTTTCATTTATTGGTCTACAGTTATTTGACATGAACACATTAAATCTAATAATTAAGGGCACCTGCCAAGATAACTTAGTTTTCCTGAACAGGATCTTTTACAAAATGTGTTCATTAAAGACAAGCTCCTTTCAGATTTTGACTTGAGTTATGGGTCTTTAATTTCTTTTACAAAATGTTTGATTTCATAAAGGCAAGGTCCATTTTAAAACAAAAATCCTTCAAATTTTCAATTCATAAATATATAAGTTTTTCTTATGAAGTGTGGATTTAGTCAAAATTGTTGTATTTAAGAATCTCCTGAAGTATTTCAGGATCTCAATAATTCCATTTTAGGATATCCTGAAATATTTCAGGACCTCCATAGTTTTAGATATCATGACCTCCATAATTGGATTAATGGATACCCTAAAATATTTATAGAGGTCCACAATTATTATATCCTTAAATCTATAATATCACTTTGCTTTGGGAGAGGTACACAGTTACGGAACTGCATGAACATAATTCGACAAAACTTTACAAATTATATTCGAGTTTGACAAAATGTTCACTGCAGATAAGATTGATAGTGCACGTATTTTAGTCACGCAAAAGAACGAGGTCCGCGTCTCGATCATTCTATATGTTTTATTGGTGAGTATATCCCAATATTTTCACAAATACATGTCTACCAACCTACCTTGATAACTTGGATCAGTATATAGATAAGGCTTTCGGTTCCAAACGCAGTTTCAATATTAGATAAACACGTTACCAGGCTTTCTAATATAAAAAAAGATATATGCTTGATTTTTTATTATTAATTGTTTTGGCTTTTAACTAGCTTTCAGTAACTGCGAGTACTCTCAAATCGTACTTTCGTGTTGATTTGACCTGTTGACACAATTTGTAATGCATTTCTGTTATTCAATGTTTACTTATTTTGTTTTATATCTCGTCTTACTATTTTTAATATGTACCACCTTTGATAAGTATTTAGTATGACGAAAAAAAAATTCACTTCTGTTCTCGTACTATAATAAAAAATTATTTTGTAAAAGATGTTTCTGTACTCCTAACAACAAAATTATTATATTTGAATTTACCAGTGTACGTTTCTTTATTTAACGCCATTTTGTCCTAGGTTAAAGTTGTCTTTTTGACATTGAAACATCTTTTTTATTAATATTGTATCATAGATCAAACTTATTAGTTCAGTGTATATTTACTTGTTTTTGTGTATTGTCTTTTTGATCGAGTTACGCCATTTCAATTGATATTTTATTGTGAGTCTTTTTATGTTGTAATGTTATACCACTGTTTCAGGTTATGGTGAAGGTTGGCGCCTGTTAAAACGTTTACACCCGCTGCTTTTTTTATGCGCCTGTTCTAAGTCAGGAGCCTGCTGTTCAGTGGTTTTCGTTTGTTGGTGTGGTTCATAAGTGTTTCTCGTTTTTCCTTTTTTATATAGATTAGACCGTTAGTTTTCCTGTTCGAATTGTTTTACACTAGTCTTTTTGGGGCCCTTTATAGCTTGCTGTTCAGTGTGAGCCAAGGCTCCGTGTTGAAGGCCGTACTTTGACCTATAATTGTTTACTTTTTACACATTGGGGCTTGGATGGATAGTTGTCTCATTGGCACTCATACCACATCTTCTTATTTATATCAACTATTGTTAAATTATTCGGTTTCAGACTATTTGGCGTCGGAACAATGGGGTGTCGAACTATTGGGGTGTTGGGCCAATGGGGTGTCGGACTAATAGGGTGGCGGACCAATGGGGTGTCGGACTTATGTGTCGAAATACCGGGGCTGCAAAGTTACTCCAAATTGTTAATACATGTAATTTCAACCCCTACTTACTATTGTATGCATAAAATATAAAGAAATAAATTTGGAAGGTTTATGGAAAAAAATGTGCGCAAGTTATTCACTGTCCGCACGAGGGACTATTAATAACTGTGTCCCCGGACCTAATAAAAGGCAAATACAGAATGATATAAGAATTCTTAGTAAAACCATAGAAGGAGTAAACCATATAGTATTATATAACCTACATAATACATTTGCTATTTCGTCTGTGTGTTTGTTTTTACGCAAAGAAAATTATTGTAAAATGAAATATCAAGATTAGATTAAATCTTCTGCACTGATGTAACTTTATAATGGTAATGAATTATACTATTTCATTAATCTTTAATTTCTGACTTACTTTCTGATGAAGTGAGTTTTTTTTCGGTTATTTTACAGTCTCGTCAGTTTTTTAAAGTTGTTCAAATGGCGTATCATGTTTGTTAAAGTTTTTTCTTGGCAAATTTTACAAACAGTTGTGTTTGTTATTCTGTATATAAAAACTAGATAATTGTGTCAGTTGTAGTGTCATTCCTTGTCCTTCGGAGTTTCAAAAATCCAATAGTTATTTATTGGTGATGTTTCCCTATAAATGCATCAATAAACATGTTTTATTCATGTTATTTCGATTTCAAAACAAAATAAACAGGCTCTGGTCGATAAACAACTTTTATTTTAGAGATCGCACAATACATGTACATGAAAGACAATGTTAACATACCGAATATCACAGATCACATAGTTATTACAAAATTAAGGTTAACCTTCTTAATGATTGACATAAAATTATGAATATAAAACAGGTCAAAGAGTGGACTAAGTATTAAATATAATAGTTTGTTAAAAAGTCGTACATGTAATTTAACATGTTATATCTTTATTGTAGTGACCGTAACTCGAACTAACGGTCAGTGGAATAAAAAGTAGAAAAACATTGGAATCCAACAACAAAACAAATCAAAATTTGCGATGACAAGCGTGTTGACATGAAATTAAAGCAGCAAACATTTGATACTATAACATTATGATGTACAACTCCAACCAATTTAAACATAAATATAAGGCAAAATAATCTAGTCGTATTTCCCTACCTACCTTAACTTTTCATGCCTACCCTAATATATTTATTGGAAATATTTGGTTAATCATTGTTAAGTCCAGATTTATTTTTGATTACAGCTCTTTTCATAATGCTAGCAAGACAAAGGTTTATTTGGCTTGCTTACTTTGTTTGTATCAGTGTTTGCTCGAGCATTGTAATTAAGATTGACATCTGAAAACAACATAAAAAGGCGGATTTAAACTTGTATACATTATATTTAAATTTGATTGGACATTATCACATAATAAAATTTACCTATACACAGGTTTAACTACGCCTGCTTATATTGTTTGCAGATGTCAATCTTAATTACAATGCTTGAGCAAACATTTATACAAACAAAGCAAGCAAGTCAAACAAAACTTTGTCTTGCTAGCATTATGAAAAGAGCTGTAAGTACTGTTAAAGTCTAGACTTTTCCCTAAATTCCTAAACTATCTTTGAAAAATGTTTAAAAAGATAAAATTATTTTAACTATCTACTTTTTTCTGCAAGGAGACAAACAGCAAGTAAATATCTAAGTAGCAAAATAATCCACTTCAACAAGTCGTACATGGAATGCTATACAGTTATCGAAATAGAAAGTACGATATGGTCTCTCTTTTGCCTCTATTAATCTGCCAGTTAATATTTTGAAAATATCAAGATGTGTTTGTTTGAACAATGAATACATTTTATATATTAGTTGAAGGGACAGAAGCTTAGTGTTTTGATGATCAAATGAAAAAAGGTCAAACTAAACCCAGATCTATATCTTCTGTGTAACATAAGACAAAGGAAACCGTTTTTATTAAAACATATATTTTGAAATAAGATGCCATGCGTTAGGCTATGAATGCTTTCCAATTCTCGTCAAATGCAATTACAAGTTAAATCACTGTTAGATTTAAACATGTCTTTCAATAAAAGTTATATCGATAAACAATATGAGTTTCAAACAAACACCATTAAGGTTAAACCACAATTCCAAGATAAACACAAACCTAATGGAATGTAATGCAAAATAAGCACAAAATAATTTTTACAATTGTCAATTCTGACTGGTTACCTCAGGATAAAAATTCTTGATATATTGTTCAAATTGAACAAAAGGAATTTAAATGAATGTAATCCAATACGTTAGTGGTACAATGCAAAGGGACCTGAGAGAACCAAAAGAAGAATGTTGGTATTTGAATTTAGAACTCTTTAAAGTACAGGATTTGAACTATATATATTTTTGTAAGAATTCAGCCTCATTCATTTGCACTTTTCCTTCTTCTGTTACCACACTGTTATGTATATTGTCATTATAGAAATTATTTTCTTTCCTTGCTGTGTAGCTCTTTTTAACAGGCTTGCCATCGTCTCCCCAGGCACGATTTCTTTCGTGGGCTTGTAGTTGCCTCTGTTGAATCATATTATTTGTTTTAATACAGAGGCATCTCCATACAATACATAATACGATGAATATCCCGATCATCACACTGAATCCAATAATTAATCCGATGTACATTTCTTCATTCCCTTTGTATAAAACCGACATCTGGAAGTACACAGAATAACAAACTATTTTTTATTTTTTTTTATTTTTCCAAATTAAAGGGCCCATTAAGAGCATAACATTAATAACAACATGACATAAACATTACAGAGTGATTAAAGAAACATAAAATAATAGTTCAAATGCATGAGGAGGGGTCAGTGGTCAAGGGGAGATAATTTTGCTATCTATTAGAGTATTTAACTAATTTTCTGATTTTCTAAGTTGCAGGCCTTTATCAAGGTATGCACATAAAATAGATAAAAAACTGCTATCTTCATTACTCATGATCCATGTAAAAAGATCATTTCTGTTTAAATTAACTAAACTGGGGTATTTTTTGATATAATCAGTCATATCTCTTCTGAGGTTATTGTAAAGAGGCCATTCCAGAAGAAAGTGCATTTCATTTTCAATAGAATTTGAATTACAATATAAACATATCCTCTCATGTCAAGGTAATATTTCATTTTTACCACATACATTGATAAAACGTTCATGTCTGCCAGTTTCTATTCTTAAACAGTGATTGTTGAGTCTGTATTTTGTTAACAAATGTTTTTGGGGGTGCTTTAAATCTAAATAATTTTCATAATCAAATGACCTCTTGAATGAAAAATAAGTGTCCAATTTGCCTTGCTTCTGTAAATAAAAATCTCGCATTTTCTCACAATCATTTTGAAAATTTAATTTGAGCTGTTTTTTCAGTAAATTTTTAAATTTATTTTTGCCTAAATTTTTACATATATTTAGGTCAATACCCAATTTTTCGCTGTAAAAAATGATATTAGAGAGCCTTGAATTATTGGAGATAGTTTGAGCTTTACTCTCAATCATTTTTTACTCAGCATAAGCACTTTTCAATAAATCAGATGGGGAATTCTCTAGTCTATGCCAATACATAAACATATGTGTTAGCAAATTTATATGTTATAGATATTTCATATCTTTTGAATAGTTTTGTGGTGTTTCGTAAATTATACCATAGCTTTTGTTGAAACCCCCGGCAATAACCTCACGAGACGAAGTCGAGTGAGGTTGCCGAGGGGTTTCAACAAAAAACTATGGTATAATTTACGAAACACCACAAAACTAACCAAAATATATGAAATATCTGTTTTAACCTATTGCATATGTTGTTGTTTAAAAATGTGTATTTCATATATTTTTGCTTATTAACTTTAAAAATAATTTTGATAAGAATCGGTCAAATTACCCTTTTAGGACCTTACACATTAAGCTCCGCCTACTTTCTAAAATACGCAGGGGCTTCTGAAACAGCGGGAAAATCAGTTGGACAGGATTTTTCGACAGCGATGGATGCATATCTACATTGGTGACGGGTAACGTTACAGACTAAAAACTGTTGAAGGAATTATATGTTCTGCATATGGACGCAAGATATAGTTTGAGAGATTTCTGGAACCCAGATTTAAAGTTGAACTGCAAAGGGTTAGTTTTTTTTTTATTTTATCAAAATATTTGAAATGTTTTTAAGTTTTTGGTATTAATTTATTTTTCTGAGAGTTTGGGTGAATCATTCCATGTTTTAATTTGTACCAGAAGCCTAAGTTGTACATTTAATTTAATTTAATTCAAAAAGATTTCAAAATGAACACGATTAAAGATCATTAAAAATCACATGTAGACTATAGATAATTTAAACAAAAAGTTCACCTTTATTTAGAGTAACCAGACGCTTTCTATTCTTAACGGCCCAACATTATAGTTATTACTTAAGCAAATCGTTAAATTTAGATGTATATAAAATCGGATACGGATCCAGGATTTTGAAAAGGAGAAAAAGGGGGGGGGGGGTCTAGCCATCCAACATTTGGAGTAATAATACGACTTATCTATTCATTTACCATATATAAAGCTTCTTGAAAGGGGCATGCCTTCTCCCTCCCTCCCCCTTAAAAAAGCCACCACGGCAAATTTCAACCTTTACATGTAAAAATACAGTTGAGCCTAAGGGACTACAATCCAAGTATACATCTCAATAACCGAAAATCGAATTATATTTTCAAGTATAATATAATAATAATATATTTATATATACTTTTTTTTTAAACTGTTCTTGAATCGAATTTTCATTCATTTAAAAATATAGGACAACGGAGTTGGTGTATGTGGGTTCGATTCCCACCCTAGGCATTCATTTATATCGGCTGGTGCAAAGCGGGCAGTTTAGCTTAGTGGCCCCACACTGACTCTGTTGTTCCTATTTTAAAAAATTCAGGCGGCCTCGGATAGGCCTTGCTATCTTTCTTTTTTTCTTTTCGAATACCAAATACAACAAAACCATGGTATAATTGTGAAAATTATACCATAGATAGCTATGGTATAATTTTCGGTTATTGAGATTTATACTCTTGTTGCATTCCCATAGGTTACATAGTACAGCTATAGGTTAAAAAGAGGATATCTACCTAGTTCAGACAGGACTGCTACGTTTGTGCACATCTTTGTAACACCAATAATATACTTGCAAAATTTTAAATTTAGGTTCTCAAACTCCCAATCTCTAAATATGTCATAAAGGGATATTTTTTTTCCTTTTTTCTTTTTGTAACAAACTTAAGACATATGCAATGCATTATTGAAACTAAAAAAATAATTATATTGGTTTACTACGTTTTAATCGTTGCTCTTGAGGGACCAATTATTATGGTAAGGTCAGGTCATCCATCATATTTGAAATTTAAAATATCCATACCAAATCACACATTATTCAAATGTTTTTTTAAACTTAATTATCAAATGTAGTTTTAGACAAAGTAGTTTATTTTGAAATAATTTGAGAGAAGAAGCTGTCAGAGGATAAATATACTTTGGATGTCTTGAAACGTTTATTCAATCAAATTGAGAATTTTAAAA